GTGTTGAGTATACACTTAATGAATGAGATGAAATTGATTTTTTGATGTTTTTCCGTAGAACGTTTGCATGTGAAGTGACAAATGCTGTTTAGTCTTTTCAATGTTCTAAACTAATGATCTGCTCTGAAATCAACTTTCTTATTTTGATATTATGCTGATAGTGCTGTGCCTTCAGAATTCGGATGTAAATTCTAATGGAACTTCATAACATTTGCAGCCTAAAGTCTTTCTTTTCTTAGCTCAGTAGGGAAAAAAGTTCAGAGGGAGTCACTTCCCACCTAAAAATAAAGTTTTGTGGTATCAAGCATGTTGTAGAAACCGCTCCATTTTTGGAGAGGTGGAGGGGATTTCCAGGAAGTTACAGAAATAAATGCTTTTTGTGTTCAATGTCAAGAAGACTGTCAAAGCATTCTTTTGAGGTCTTTGGTTCTCCTGGTGTGTACATGAACATTTCAAAAACATTTACAATGCCTTGCTGCATTAGACCAATGGTCCATGTAGCACAGCATTCTGTCTCCTGTGGTGGCACTGGAAGATGGTGTTTTGGAAGAGTCTGACAATTTTTTGCAGTCCATTTCCCTCCTGCTTTCCAGCAACCATGATTGTTGTATTAAGGATGTCTCAGGCTATTCTGTTTGGCATCCATTTATGGCCTATGGACACAGTAAACCTGATGATAATACTGTCATGCTATATGGTCTCCTTTGTATATGGATGCAATTTTAATCTTGGTGTAATTATTATATGCTTATTACTAAATATAATATTCCACATACCAGAATATAAAGTTTTCCACATTATGAAAACACTTCCAAATCAAAATACTTTTCAATATGTGGTAAGGAATTTAAAATCCTGTTCAGTTGAAAAGGAGGAATATTCTTGTTCTAGTGTAATCTTAATCAGATAAATAATATGAAAGTGGAGTATAACTTGTGCTTGGAATGTGCTTCTCTAAAGAAGTCTAATTTTAGCCTTTTCCTTTCCCTCAGCCTTATAATGTGTGAAAATAAATGCATTAATTAAATCGGTAACTTGTATAATTCTGCATTGTTGCAGGCAAAGATGTATATTTTTAATTCAGTCTTCTGGATGTTTCTTGATGTTAATTGAACCTGCTAACCAGACACTGGTAACTCAAAAGAATTACAGAAATATTATCTTCAAGGATTATTGTGATCCAGTTGGCAGCTATGTTTGCTAGTTTAAAATCTGCCTGAAGTGATCCAAATTTGTTACTTAACTTTGATCTCTTAAAGTTAGCATCAAGAGGGAAAATTTAAAATGTACAAATATCTAAATTATCTTTTCAAATCCCTGGGACATTTCTATTTGTGGGGGTCTTTTGTTGTTTTGGTTTTGTTTTGGTTTTTTAGAAAGAGCAAAACTACTAAAGCCAGTAAATAGAAGCTCTCAGGAGTTTGAACTAAACTAGGACACAAAAAATTGTAGTGCTTCAGTTCCCCTGGTCCTCTTCACAAGAACAGACAAAGTACAAACCCCTGATGTGGATTCCATTTAATTGAGTAAGGACACTGAGCCCCATATGGAAAAAAGGAATGAAGTGCCAGTATGCCCACCTGCTGTACAAGGGTAACTGAAGCCCATTGCCACTAGGTTACTTCTAGTGGCTTATCTGGCCTGGGAAAGCTTGCACATCTAGCAGAAATGCTTGTAACAGGGTAAGAACTGTGAGAGACTGTATCTGACAAAGGCTTGGTGATAAACACAGGGTAGCAAACCACTGTGGTTCCTACTCAGTTACCAATAGTAAGGATAGTTGCAATTGTCTGGTCAGTCACTTACATACACTGAGTATATAACAGGCTGAGATCCCCCGATATAAGTCCTTTCTGGTTTTGTGCAGATCCTTTAGAAGAATTACCATTCTTGATCTTGCCCAGAGATGGAGAGCTCGGTGCAATGTGTAGAGCATCAGTTACTCCTCTCCAACCCTAAAAGTCAGCCTTCATAGCAGGGAGTTACATCAAAGCATTAAGCTAAACAGAACAAATTAATTTGGAACTGGAGAACCAAGGAGATAACAGAAGGCAGACATGCTCTCAAGAAGCTGCAAGCATTTGTCAGCACTGATGTGCAGGAGAGTTGTTGAGGAGGATTTGAAGGAAGATATCTGTTTGTTTTGGCTGCTCCTTCAAAGCAGAAAGGAAAATATGTTATGCCTACAGTTAACTGGTGGTGGATGCCAGCACTCTTAGTTGATCAGGGATAGGAGTAGATCTGTTGCTGACGGGAGGTATTAGGACTGCTGCAGTCCTAATCTAGCTGGTATGTTATGGGATTCAGAAGTGGCAGCCAGTGTGAGGGTTCAAGGGAAGAGCTGCATGGTCAGAGGTGGCCAGTTAGGTGAGAGCTCACCAAGGCCAAGAGAAGGAGGTGTTGCAGTGACTTCTGTGTAAAATGAAGAATGCTGAACAATACATCTGCACAGCTGCTTATGGCCTGGAGTGCGTCTGCTTGGCTGTTGTGCTGTTGTATCTGGTGTTTGGAGAGAAGTTTAGTAAACCAGATGCTTCCAGATGTTTGCAAATGCTAACTGTGGTCAGAGAGAGAGAGAGCCCTAAAATTCATGAAATATGTATAAATTTTCCTCAGAAATTTATAAATAAACATTGACAGCACAATTTACATATGTGTCAGCTAGAGAGAAATTAATATCATTAATGCCCAAATCTTGTGTGGCTAATAGTTTTAGACCCTTCACTGACCTACTATACAAGGAAGTTTCTGATCATGTTGCTTTTTTGACATCACATGTAATTCTGAAATATGGTATGATCCACTGAAGTGTGTCCCTTTTTTTTTCTTTTTTTTTTTAAAGACAAGAAAAAAAACCCTTTGCTCTGTTATATACTTATGCATTTAAAGAAATACCAGTCTCAGCAGGTCCAATTGAATTGGAGATATTTCTTTTTTTCAAGTGGGGAGCTGAGATACATTGTACTTCTAAATCTCAAATTTTTCAGTACATGATAATATATTTATTTCTGACTCCTTAAGTTTGATTTTATGAGCTCTGCAGGGGGACTAGTAAATTCTGTGTGCTAGGTAAATAGGTCGATATATTAACAAATCTGTTTATCTAGCTAATCTTCCTTGACCAGGGATGGAATGCCTTTACCTTAGTCCTGTATCACAGACTAATAGGGCAAGGAGTCCAGTAGTGGATGAGGTAGGGGACTGTATGGTTCTTTCAGTGAGAATATGCTGTCATCCCCATGTGGACAACACAGTGAGTCTCTTCCCAAGATGCTGCTGCTTTTCTACATCCAGGCACAGAAAAGGTCAGAGTAAGGTGGGTAGTTCTGTCTGTGTCTCTTGCTGAGCTTTCCAGCACCATGTAAGAGTCCTGATGGCTGGCAGTAAAGCATTTTTCTCTCCATTAGCTTCATCTCTTTCCTTTCTCAGCTAATGGTGGTGTCACTCTTCACAGCACCTCTCAGTGCTTGGAAGAGCGAGAGTGGAGCTGCTGTCAGTGTTGCAAAGCAGCTAATGCTTGTTCTTGATGTGGAAAGACATTTGGCTGAAAAAATCTGCAGCCTCAGAGCCTGCAGCCTGCAGGAAGGCTCAGAACCAGGGGAGACTCTGATCATGCAATCTCTTTTTGGGATGCTGTATGGTGGGAGTGACAGACTAGTGGGCAAGTCATTGAAGCTTTCGGAACTTAAATTGTGGAACTCCATTCAAAAGAAGTTTTTTGTCTTTAAAAAGTTATGTAATTGTATGGAGTATGAAAACTGGAGTTTTTTATATTGCTCTGATAATTTTGGCAAGAGCGGGAAAATCCAGATTCAGTGACCTGTGTTTTCCTGTCAGGCTTCTCTGAGTAACAAGCACTGGCTGGAGTGAGTCTCACAGGAATCACATTAGATACCATGTGATATGTACAGACAAATAATTTCTTTAGAATATTCCTGTGGCATGATTACAATCTGCTTTTGTTGGATACAGCAGTTACTATAAGGAGCTGTGTTTCCATCTAAGGGAATAAATCCAAATTTGTAGAGTTCAAAAAAACCTTTGGATGTAAGTTTGTCTATATAATGGAATATATAACAAGAGTTATAATAAGAAAGCATATATGCTTTTTACATGCAATATTTACTGTAAAACAATAATTCTTCAGGAAATTAGCATCATGGAAAATAACTGGTCACCATTTGGGTTTTATGGGGGGTTGGGGGGAAGGAGTTGTCATTTGTCTAAATACTGTCAGGTATTTCCAAATGACATATATAGAAGAAAAATAATTGAAAATTGCTTTTTTGTATTTCTTAACATGGGTCATTTTTCAGTAATGTCTTTGGTTATAATTGCTCCATTCAGACCAACACTGGATATTTTGATCCATTAGGTCTGAATCAGCCTTGATTTCTCCATTTCTAATGTGTCCCTCTTTGCTTCCCAATTGCAGCAATTTTTCAGTCTTGAATTAAATCCTATTTTCTCAAGATTAAAGATGCATATGCCTTGAAGTTATACTAAATACTTGTAATTTCTCTGTGTAATGAGTATTTCATATTACATTGTGGTTTGCACAGTACACATCTTTTAAACAGCTGTTGAGAATATGTTATGGCTCACCTTGCTGGAGAATACTGCATATACAAAAGTCTGGTTCTGAGTAACATCTAAGAATTTTTGCCACCGTGGAGTAAAGCAAAAGCCCAGAAAAAAACCCCCTGAGTTTTACCATTCCATTATGTAATTAGATAGCATTGGAATACTGTATCTCTCACATTCTAATATTTAAGATCACTTTGCTTTTTGCACGTTATATTTTTTATCACATCTTTACTAAAGATGTGAGGTTATTTAAAAAAACAAACCAAACCAAAAATCAAACGCATAAACAAACAAAAAAATGACACCAATACCAAACC